CTTACCATCAGATGGACTGTGTGCTCGTTTGTCATCCTTATGCTATAATAAAAAAAATAACTGACTACCTATAATGATTAACCAAACAAACAGCAGTGCAGTGCAGTTCCTACTTGCCTGGGAACTGTACCCCGCTGAAAGATAAATTGTTTCGAACAATGGTACAACAAATAAGTACACCTGTATTTATTCACATCCGATGTCACATTGACGCGATAGAATCGAAAGAACGATAAGGTGTAAACGGGGGCAATCTTTATCTTTATATATTTATATAATTCTTCTGTCAGTGTTTATGTGACTGAACTCCTCCTAAACGGCTGAATTTCAATGCTGAATTACAGAAATCACCCGTGCAAATCCGGGACCGAGTGCTAGTATATTTAAATTATATATAATTACTACGTATGTTACGTGGTAGAGTCATGCTGCAGCTATATTAGTAGTATAGTTGTAGCACAAATGGGTCGGCTCGACCGGGGAAGGACCACGCTCACAGGCTCTCACCGAATACCAGCGTAAAATAGTAGCTCAACACTGCTGTGTTTCGTGTGGTAAGTGTAGAGAACTGGAGACCCTTTTACTAGAAAAGAGGCATTCCATCTTAGTCCTCACAGGTGACTACGCATCTGCATTTTGATTTGTTATCGAGGATAGATGTGAATGTCTATGAGTCACAGCAACCACTTACCATCAGGTGGACTGTGTGCCTCTTTGTCACCCTATCCTATAAAAAAAACGTTGTTCTAGTCTAGAACAACGTTTTTACACTACATGGTGAAATTTATCTAGAACTTCTAGATAAATTTCACCATTTAGTGGCGGTGTAAGAATATCCACTACCCCATATCGTCCCGTCGGTGTCGTAAGAAGCAACAGAGGGGAAACAAACGAGGAGATGGGCAGCAGCGACTTCCTAATGTGCTTCCTATAACAACTGGAATAAGAAATAGCGGCTGGCGAACCTCCTGCCAAGCGTGGCAACTATGGCAAATATCCCCTTTATGAGACATTCTCTGGGAGGTCTATGTTCAGCAGTGGACTTTGATAGGCTAATGTGATAGGTAAATGTGAATGGTGAATATTTCACACAAAAGAAGTATAGCTACTTCATATGTGAATTTATTTTATACCTTGGATGGCAGAAAAATGCTACGGTTTTCGATAAATGGCAGTATAGCTTATTTAACCTGTGGTATAACCATCACGTTAACGATAAATTTTGCCTACAACGAGAGGTTCCTGGCGAGCAATGAACTTTAGCGCTGATGAAGAAGAAGATAAATTGACGACAATTATCTGGCTCCTGTGACTACGATAATTTCACAATACTATCGGAAGTTATCAACTGCGCAAGAAATATTAAAACTATAGTGTCGCAACACAAGTGAAGACAGGCACTGACACTAGGGTACTCGTCTTAACCTATCTACCCACCATGTCCGATGTTACGTCTATACGGTAATTATCTCATCTACATCCTCATGGGTGACTGTTATGACGCATCTGCATTTTTATTCTTAATCGAGGATAGATTAAGATGTTTTTGGGCCACATCTTTCACTCACCATCAAATGGACTGTGCGCTCGTTTGTCCCTCTTATTCTATAAATAAATAAAAATTGAAGCACCATAGATGCATGTTACAATAGATAAAAAATAATTATTTATTCAACAGATAATAAACTCAGCATGTAAAAAAAATAGATTATAAACAAGATAAGCATGAAACATGATCTGATTGATGATGATGATGAATGATGAATAAAAATAATGTTCTTTAGACGGAATGACGGTTACGGCAGCCGGTCTCAACGGAGACAAGCCATTTGCACATTGTGCAAGATTATAGGATTATAGTGCACGCGTGTGTGCGTAAACACATGATAAAGCCATGCTGCAGCTATATTGTAGTTGCAGCACGAATGGGTTGGCTCGACCGGGGAAGGACCACGCTCTCACAGAATACCAGCCTAAAATAGCAGCTTAAAACTGCTGTGTTTCGTAAGGTGAGTGTAGAGAACCGGAGATCCTTTTTACTGGAAAAGAGGCATTCCATCTTAGTCCTCACGGGTGACAATGCATCTGCATTTTTATTCTTAAATGAGCATAAATGTAGATATCTATGGGCCACAGCATCCACTTACCATCAGGTGGACTGTGAAAAAAACACATGCCCGCTCTATATTAACTACTCTCACACGAGTAGTTCGTAGGGACGACAATCCGACATAACCGGTAAGAGTTGGCATCAAGTATCATCGGACGTAGGCAATTTTTTAACCACGTGCTCGGCAGTTAAGAAAAACATCGTGAGGAAATTTGCATGCCTAAGGGATAAAAATATTAATAAATATAAAAATCATTTAAATCGATTAATCTCCGAGATATATTTTTAAATTAAAAATACTGATTTTTAAACACACCCCTGCAACGTGGCTTACAGATGATATTAAATCACTGTTAAATAAGAAAAATAAAGCTAGGCTTATTTATAACAGTGATAAATCGGACCACAATAGGGACACGTACAGGAGCATACGGAATCGCTGCAATACGATTTGTAGAGATGCACAACAACGCCATGTTCAAAAATCAGTCGAGAACGGAGACCCTGCAAAAATTTGGAAGTTTCTCAGATCAATAGGAGTTGGAAAATCTAAAGAATCCACTATTTCGAATGAAGACGTTGATATTGAATCACTAAATCAACATTTCTCATGTACATCTTCATTTTTAAATGATAATATAAAATCATATACTCTAAACAATCTGTCTAAAGCATCACCTCCTAATTTCTCGCCGTTCACCTTCAATCAATTTTCCGACTGTGATGTTAAGAAGAACGTTTTGTCCATATCGTCAAGTGCTATCGGATGTGATGATATTAGCCGTAAAATGATCGTCCCCCTGATTGATATTATTCTCCCCATCCTTACTCATATTTTCAATTACTCCATATCCTCTGGATCTTTTCCTCGAATCTGGAAGGAAGCTAATATCCTTCCTCTTCCTAAAAAGAAGAAACCCTGTTCTCCTTCAGATTATCGACCTATATCTATCCTTCCATTCCTTTCAAAAGTTCTTGAACGTTTGGTATTTGCACAATTTAACCACTACCTAAATAAAAACTCCCTTCTTGACTCCTTTCAATCAGGGTTCAGACTTGGTCACAGTACTGTTACAGCTTTACTTAAAATCACTGATGATATTCGCTGGGGTATGGACCAACAGCAGCTCACTATTCTTACGTTGCTGGATTTCAGTAACGCTTTTAACACCGTCGATATTGACGTATTGTTGAGTCTGCTACGTTCTATTAACATATCTCCAGCGGCAATTGAATGGTTTCAAAGCTATTTGCGTGGTCGCCGGCAGCGTGTTATGGTAGAGGGTGCCACATCTACGTGGTGTGAACTAATTGCTGGTGTACCACAGGGTGGCGTGTTGTCTCCTCTCCTTTTTTCTGTATTTATTAATTCTATTACTTCACGAATTTCTTCTCTCTACCATTTGTATGCAGATGATCTCCAAATTTACTCCCATACATCACTCCAGAATCTGACTAATGCCATCAATGACACCAATACGAATCTTGCTGCAATACTTGATTGGAGCAGGTCATTCGGGCTTAATTTAAATCCCAAAAAGACCCAAGCCATTATTGTTGGAAATAGCACTCTAATCTCGAGAATTTGTTGGGATAACCTTCCACCTATTGTTGTTGATGGTGTTGTGATACCTTTTAGTAAATCTGTAAAAGACCTAGGATTATATATTGATCAGAATCTTTCTTGGTCCCTGCATATTAAGGAGTCCAGCAGAAAGATGTTTGCGGCAGCATCTTATTTAAGACGTTTGCGTAACTCGCTTCCCATTCCTACTAGAGTTTTACTGGCACAGTCTTTGTTACTCCCTATCCTTGATTATGCTGATGCATGCTACTCCAATCTTACTGAGGATCAATTAAATAAACTTGAGCGTCTTCAGAATTTCGCTATCAGGTTCATATTTGGCCTTCGCAAATATGATCACGTTTCAGAGTACCGAATTAAGCTCAAGTGGCTCCCTATCAGGCTTCGTCGGAATACTCATATTCTATCTCTACTGTACTGTGTACTATTTGATCCTAAAACACCGAGTTATCTTAAAGAAAAATTTGAGTTCATGGGCGCAAATAAAGATCATTCCAGAATAGCTGATAAACTTTTACTGCGTATGCCTGCTCACAACTCAAAATTTTTTCATTCCTCCTTTTGTGTCAAAGCAATCAAATTATGGAACTCGCTTCCTTTAACAATTAAAAAAGCCCAAAGCATTGAGTCTTTCAAAAATGTGGTTAAAGATTATTATTTAAATATGTGTTCTACTTAATATATTTTATTGTCATATCTACTTTTCTTGATAAGGTTTATGTATATGATATATAATTATAATGTATTACAGAAATATTTATAAAAGTGTATGTATTCTATGTATGTATATGTAGGTATATGTGTATATGTATGTGTGTATGTATATATTTGTTTATGTGTATAGATATATATAATATTATTTTTAATATATGCTTGTTTATCTACTATTTATGCACACTTCTATATATTTAAATGAAAATTATCTCCTTCACTAAGGTTTGCCTGGAAGAGATCGCTGTTTAGCGATAAGGCCACCTAATTGTACATTCGTTGATAAATTTAAGTTTGCTGTGTTGTGTAGTTTTATGTGCAATAAAGAGTATAAATAAAAAATAAAAATAAATAAATACTGATATCAATCATTTAGTAACCGTGTTAAAACACAGTATATGTACTGTACATCTACATAGGTATTTTGTTATGTTAAATAAAAATTGTTTATCTATATATGTACATTTGAACCCATACCCCACAACTCAGATGCTATGTATACTAACCAGTGCACCACACGGTCGTTAAACACACATGCACGCGTGGCTATCTAACACACACAAACTAATAAATATGCTTTTAATACATACTCACCCAAATTCCAACTCATCGGGCGTCAGCATCACAATGTCGTCGTCGATCGTCAGTTGGCACTCCGTCTCTATCTCGTCGTACGGAAAAAATCTGTTTGAGAGTTTGTTCTCTTTCGTTCGTATCACTTTCAACGGCTTGTTGATAACGGGCCATTCCGAAGCTGTCAAATAAAATATTACTAATGTAAAATGTCTTAGCTGATAATAAAAATGTGATAAGCGACTCATCGCTCCTTGTTTATGGGTGCATAAAGGTTCAAGTAAAGGATGATCTTGGGGCCTTCGAGGGCTTATAGCCATTTCGTTTAAGCCCTCAGACGAACAATCAAAGAAAGACTGAACGCTGCATATACTTTAATGATTCAAAACCAACCAAAACCATGTTTCAATTATTGTAAGGACACGCACTTACGGTACACATATGAGTCTAAAATCATTGGCAACTAACAACATGGTTTTAGGTGCATATGTGTGCATCCAGCAGTGAACTTTTACGGGCTGATAAAGAAAGAAAGGAGAAAGACGTGAGCGTGAGTGCGTTAAGAAGTTGAGCACGGTTTTGGAATCTTTCTTTTTGTGCCGGAGTTTAGATCACTCTTTTTATACAATTAAAGCTGACAAACGTGCATATAGTACACGTAATGGTAATGGAGTGATTTGGCCCATAACCAAACGTCAAGAATAAAAAAAAGATGCGTTGTCAGTTGTCACCCATGAGAACTAAGATGGAATGCCTTGTTACCAAAAATGGTACGGTGGTGCATCGAAATAATACGTACGAGAACAGACGCCTCAAACAAAATCTGTGCAGCAGTGCCAGGTGCGTGGAAGAAGGCATACTTGTAGAGTACCTATTTATCCCAAAGACTAAGAAAATTTGAGCTCGCAGGTTCTAACGCATGTCGCACCCAAACAAGTCTCGGCATTTCTTCTAGTACGTATTACATCAATGTTGTGCTACTATTTTACGATGGTATTCTTTGATACGTAGTACTATTATTTATTCTGTGTCTTTGAGTACTTCCATAGGCACACCGACCAATTTATATTGCAGGTGTATTATGTCTACGAGAAAAAAAAATACTACGATCGTCAGTCCGCCTGCCACGTAAGTAATCCTTCTTCGTCTCCTTCATCAGCCCTTAAAAGTCAACTGCTGAACTTGGGCCTCTCCCGTTGTAGGGAAAATTGTGGCTTAATCGTCACATTTGACAAGCGCATTGACTGACGATCGCAGTACCACACGTCTCGCACCTTTTACACTGTTTCGCGACACCAGTCTGGGTAATTTTCGTCTGGACCTGGCGTTAACGAGACGGTAATACCGCCATCTATTGAAAGCCACAAGATCTTTCTAGTATATCCTTTAGTCATCACGATACCAACGAAATAATTTAAAATTTTATACAACCGACTTCAATATAAATTATTAAACATCTTAGATAAAGAATAACTCAAAAACTGTTCAACAACAAAGACTTCAAAAAGGAGACGGTACTCAATTCGACTGTATGTTTTTTTTATATGTGTTACCTCATAACTTTTTACTGGGTGGACCGATTTCGGTGATTCTTTTTTTATTTGAAAGCTGGTGCTTCACATGTGGTCAAATATAAATTTGATCAACAAGGTCCGACCAATAGTTTTTGAGTTATTCTTTATCTAGGATTTTTAATAATTTATATTGAAGTCGGTTGTACAACATTTTTCATTTTAAATTATATCGAAACCGGTCGAGCGGTTATAAAAAAATCGACAATAAATTATATTTATATTGAAGTCTATTGTACAAAATTTTTAATTTTACCACTTGTATATGAGTATCATAGACTAAGTACTTTCAATTTTTAAAACTATTGTAAAATTTAAAACAAAATATAAAGATTTAAAAATGGATACTGCTGTAACTGGCAGAAAGGAAAGTACGATACAGTAGAAAAATCACACGGTAACCGATATTTACGCACAACAAAAACGTTTACTTTTTTTGAAATCATATCATATATGCCGTGTAGTGGCGGTTAAGAATATCCATCTTCCCGTGGGTGTCGTAAAAGGCGACAAAGGGAAACAGGCAGGAGATGGGCAGCATTTTCCCGATAACAGCAAAAATACAATAAAAAAAACTGCGGTTGCCAACCCGCTCGCCAAGCGTGGCAACTATGGCAAATACCCCCTTATAAATGTAACAAAGAGACGGCCCCCAGTCCCCGGCGGCCCTGCTATTCCTGGCTACGGTGGCGACCATGGTAACGGCGGGGCAGGGGGTGCTAAGAATCTCCGGTGGAGGTTCGGTTGCCACCTACGACGACTCGACCTGGCAACATACAACGCACGCACCCTGAGGACTGACGAGAAGATTGTGGAGCTGGAAGAAGAGATAGACAAGTTACGCTGGCATATTATAGGATTATCCGAAGTCCGAAGAGAGGGGGAGGAAAGGGTAATCCTCGAATCAGGCAACTTGCTCTATCACCGGAAAGGCGACCATCTGTCCCAAGGAGGTTTCGGATTTATCGTCCACAAGTCTCTCGTTAACAACGTTGTAAAGATTGAAAGTGTGTCGACGAGGGTTATACGACGTACCTTATACTCAGAATCACCAAACGGTATTCGCTGAAGGTCATACAGGTTTACGCACCAACCTCGGCACACCCCGATGAGGAGGTGGAGGAAATGTATGAGGATATCTCTAGAGCCATGCATTCCTCTAAAACCCAATATACGGTGTTAATGGGAGACTTCAATGCAAAACTAGGCACAAGAGAGAATGGTGAGTTGAAAGTAGGGAAATTTGGAATAGGGCAACGGAACTCAAGGGGCCAGCAGCTGGCCGACTTCATGGAGAAAGAGGGACTCTTTATGATGAACTCTTTCTTCCAGAAGCGGCCCCACAGGAAGTGGACCTGGTCGAGCCCCGACGGTTCCACAAAAAATGAGATTGACTTCATTATGACAACCAGACGTCAGTGATGTCTCAGTGATCGCGAGGGTGAAAACCGGCAGCGATCACCGAATGGTTAGAGGCACACTGAACCTAAACGTTAAGTTGGAGAGGTCTCGTCTAATGAAGTCAACGCTCCGTCCCCCTCGTGCTCTAATCCAAAGTCCCGAAACCTTTCAGCTCGAGTTACAAAACCGTTTTCAGTGCCTAGAAGACTGCAATGAAGTGGACGATATGAATGACAAGCTCGTGGAAACTGTCCATGCGGTCGGAGCTAAGTTCTGCAAGACCCGCCGCAGAAGAACACAAAAACTCTCCGATCACACTCTTAATCTCATGGCTGTTAGACGGGAGATGAAGCTACATTCTTCAACAGATTTGACAGCATACAGGCAACTGAACAGACAGATCTCCAAATGCATGCGACGGGACTTACGCAACTTCAATACAGCTCATATTGAAGAAGCGATCGAGCGGGACCAAGGCTCCAAAGTCTTTGCCAGAGATCTGTCTGCCAGAAAGAGTCAACTGTCAAAGCTGAAGACAGAATGTGGCAGCATCGTTTCCGGGGCACCTGAGATTTTGTGTGAGATTGAGAGGTTCTATGGGCAGCTGTACACGTCATCGTTGGAGCCACACGCAAGTGTGAGTAACGATCCAAGAGCGAGTCTTATCCGACATTATTCCGATGATATCCTGGACATCAGTCTGAGCGAGATTAGAATGGCTCTCCAGCACCTTAAAAACGGCAAGGCCCCAGGTGAGGATGGAATTACAGCGGAGCTTCTGAAAGCGGGTGGAAAACCGGTACTTGAAGTCCTTCAGAAGCTCTTTAATTCCGTCCTCCATTGTGGCATTACACCGGAGGCGTGGAGCAGAAGTGCGGTGGTCTTGTTCTTCAAGAAAGGCGACAACGCTCTCTTGAAGAACTACAGACCGATTTCCCTTCTGAGCCGCGTCTACGTGCTGTTTTCGAGAGTCATTACGAATCGTCTCGCACGCAGACTTAACGACTTCCAGCCTCCCAAACAAGCCGGTTTCCGAAAAGGCTTTAGCACCATAGACCACATACATACCCTTCGGCAAATTGTACAGAAGTCAAAGGAGTACAATTTGCTACTATGTCTGGCGTATGTGGACTATGAGAAAGCCTTTGATTCCGTCGAAATTTGGGCGGTGCTGCAGTCCCTTCAGCGGTGCCAAGTTGACTGTCGGTATATCGAAGTGCTGAAGTGTTTGTACAGTAGGGCTACGATGGCTATACGAGTACAGAACCAGAGTACGAAACCTATCCAATTTCAGAGAGGTGTAAGACAGGGTGACGTCATATCCCCGAAACTCTTAACCGCTGCATTGGAAGACGTATTCAAGCTTCTGGACTGGAAAGGATACGGTATCAACATCAATGACGAGTACATCACTGACCTTCGATTTGCCGACGATATAGTCCTTATGGCAGAATTGCTGGAGGACCTAAGCACTATGCTCAATGATCTCAATATTGCTTCCCAACGGATAGGTCTTAAGATGAACATGGACAAAATAAAGATCATGTTTAATGTCCATGTCACACCTATGCCGGTAGTTGTTGGGAGCACTAAGCTCTAAGTTGTTGACGAGTATGTTTACCTGGGACAAATAGTCCGACTAGGTAAGTCCAACTTCGACCGAGAGGTCAATCGACGGATTCAACTCGGTTGGGCAGCGTTCGGGAAATTACGGCACATCTTCTCGTCAGGTATACCTCAAAACTTGAAAACGAGACTGTACAACCAGTGCGTGTTGCCAGTGATGACATACGGAACTGAGACGTGGTCCTTCACTGCTGGCCGTATGAGGAAGCTCAAGGTCGCTCAGCGAGCTAAGGGGAGGGCTATGCTCGGAGTTTCTCTGCGTGATAAACTCAGAAATGAGGATATCCGCAGTAGAACCAGAGTGACCGACATAGCCCAACGGATTAGTAAGCTGAAGTGGCAATGGGCCGGCCATATAGCTCGAAGAACCGACAACCGATGGGGAAAAAAGGTTCTCGAGTGGCAGCCTCGTACCGGCAGGCGAAGTGTTGGGAGTCCCCCCACCAGATGGAGTGACGACCTGGTAAGATATGCAGGAAGTCGATGGATGCAGGTGGCTTAGGACCGTGCTTTGTGGCATTCCTTGGGGGAGGCCTATGTTCAGCAGTGGACTTGTGAAGGGCTGTAATGATGATGATGATGA